TTATAAAACATCCCAAATTGGGGTGTTTTGGTTGGTTTTAAAATTTTGTTCCACAAATATCCTATCCACTATAAAACTATCTCAATTATATCAAAAAAAAAAAAAAAAAAAATTAATCACATTATGCCCGTCTCCAACCATATTATTAAAATCTCATTTCTAGATGCTTTCTTGGAGAAGTGAAGCTACAATTGTTCAATCAGTCAAGAGCTGCAAATAATGGCAAAGAAGGATAAAGAGACTTTATCATATTTGAAGTTATAAAATACTAATAAGTAGAAAACAAATAAAGAACCCTTATCTTGTAACCGAAAAAACAAAACTCCTAAATTTTGGTTGAAGTTGGGGTATTTTTATGGGCATATATGTAAATTTATTAATTTAAAAAACTATCAAAACCCTTAGAAAATAAACTCCTAAGCACATATTAGGTGTTTTAAAAATAGATACTAAAAAACCTTCAAAACCTCGATGGTGGTTTACTTTCATAACTGCTATCCTAAAACTCCCAAGCGGATCCTTAGTCTGTTAATACACACTTTAAGCTCTTATTTTTATATGTTTAGATTTTATAGTATACCTCAATTTAATTTAACATTAATATTTTATATATTGACTTTTTATAAAACTATCACGTAGTTTAATGTCTTTAAGATAATAGGTGATTTTAAATATAAGATAAATATAACCTTATTTTTAGTTATACATTTTTCTGTTATGGTTACACTATATATATATATATATATTGTGTGTGTTAGAATATTCTTGTTTGTCAAATTTATGACTTGTGTGTGCACAACAGTTTTGTGTGCACACTAGTTGTCAGACTTGTGTATTAGCCTGTTTTGTATCGAGTGTGTGTGCATAACAGTTTGTGCTTGCACACTCGCTTTAGATATTTGCAATCCAGCACGAGTTACATACATGATAAAGTAGCAAAGATATTTATTTATCTTTGTTGCTACCTTTTTAGGACCTTTTACAAGTGCCACTTTATCCTTTAAGTAGTCTTAGGGAATAAAGATGTTTTTCCCGATTTGTTTTATGGTCCAAACCAAAAGAATGAATATTTTTTTTATTTGGACAAACATCTTGTTGGCTGACGTGGCACAATAGTGTTAAGCAAGAAACCCTATATTATATAATATCATTTCTTGCGTGCTTGAATCTAACTTTTTGATATTGTTATTCTTCTTTGTACTCTAAAATTTCTTTAGAATATATTTTCTCTTCAAAGGTCCATAGGTTCATTTCTTTTGTGTCAAAACCTCACCATATCATTCATTGTCTTGATGGGTTTTGGAACGTGGTTCTTTTGTTGATGCTGGTGCGTGGCATCGGTGCTTGAAGCTTGATGATTCACAGGCTGTTCTTGATTGTGCTTTCGATGTGAAGAAGGTCTAAGGAGTTTCAACATGTTAAGGATTTAGAGTGTGGTACTATGTGTAAAGTTGAACAGAGAGTTCTTTTTACTATATCTTGATCAACTTTGAACATTGTCTTATAATATGTTTTTAACTTAATGAATTACTTTAATCTGGTCAAGGTTCCATGGATGTAAGCTAAAAGTGGATTTTAGCCAAACTATATATATGGTTGTGTTCTTTACTTTATGCATTTGTGGATGATATGTTTAAATTTGAAATCTCCTAGTTAACTTGGTAAAAGTTTCTGCTACACTTAAAAATGGGTAAACTTAATCCAAAGTGAGTTAAACAACTCTAACAATATGTAAAATTGTAAAATGTGTAATATATATATGGATTAATGTTACACATTTTAATATAATAGTTAGATGATATTTTTATTTAACATAATATTACTGTGCTATTAAAATGAAGACTTTTTGTAAAATGGTATGCATTTTTTTGTTAATTGGAATGAGGATATAATTGATCGATGTTATCACTTTTATTATAAAAGTTAGAACATAAGATGTTTTTACATATTCATCTTTTTTTTTTTTTTTTTTTTTTTCAAATTTAATCAAATTTGTAGAGTAACCTTATGCTATGTTTAAACATATATACCTTGGTAATAAGAATAAAACTTCTAAAATACGTGTCCTACACTAGATCTAACATTGGCGCACATCTACGGTTTTCATGCTATTGTTTTTGCAAATAATTTTGTTTTCAAGGCCTGTCATTTTCATTGGAATTGTTAAGAAATTCATTCTTGGTTTTCTTTCTTCCTTTATTATTTTTTCTTTATATTATTTTGTTTTATAATTTAAAAAGAAAAAAAAAAAGAGATAAAAGAGGAAAAAGATAAATTAGGTTATAACAAAAGCATCATATAACGTCTCCTCGTGTGGTCGGATAACAAGTCTTTTAGTCACTATAGTTAGTTATACCTAAGACTCGTATGTTCGAGTTGTAGAAGAAACATCTACCACATTTAGGCAATTACTATTTGTGCAATTGGGCATGTAAGATGTTCCGTAATTGTGCCTAGATCCTCAATTATGGGCTCGACTAGCAATTGGCTTGTAGGGTGCTCCATTTGTCCCTTAGTTGATGAAAAATCATCTTCAACAATCTTTATTTGACTCTTCTTCAACCATTCCAAGTTCTTATTCAATTATTTTTTTTTTTCTCTTGAAGAAAAATGAAGACTGACTTTGAAAGTAGGCCAGTAAGTGAAAAGTCATATTAATTAATTAATTTTTATAATTATTAAAAATTAAAAGTCTAGATGGAGAATGAGTGACAAAAAAATATTGCACTTTCTAGGTAGTTAATTCGTCTGTTAATCATATAAGAAAATGCTTTTACAAAACATAAAACAAATACGTTTTGGTCAATTATAATAATATTTACTTGGAAGCTTAATATGAAACCAAATGCACCATTAATTTTTCAGTCATGAAACACGTTTCGGTCAATTATAATAATATTTACTTGGAAACTTTATAGGAAACACCTTTGGATCCACCTAAACTCAATTGTTTTCTTCCTCCCTTCACGTGGTGGGTCTCCACTGTAATCAATTAAAATCAATTGATTGATGTTCACTGTAATCTCTTTTCATCTTCAGTTTTCTTCTCCCTCACTACTTTCACACGCAAACCTCTCTCACCCCTTTAGGTACCATCTTAGAAATTTCTTCTGCCACCTCTGATTTTCTTTTTAATTTGGGCGAACGACTTGTACATACCCAAAATTTACTGTAATGACAAGTTAGTACCCAAAAAGTTTTGAAACGACAAATAGATACATTCCGTCATATTCTGTTAGTGATTTTTGTTTATTAATAGTGAAAAGACTAAAATGCCCTTCAAAGTTTTAATTTTTGTTTTTTATAAATTTAAAAATTTCTAAAAAACCCCCTAGGTTTGCTAATTTAATTAAACACCCCCATATATAAAATGTTTGTTAAATGACAAAAACACCCCCACCACCCCCGTGCCAGATTCCGGCCACCATCGCCGGAATCAGGCCGGAAAACTGTATTACGACACAGATCCGTCGGATCTGTGTCGTAACGTGCCGATCTTGCCTTTTCCGGTCAGATCTGCCACGGATCTTGCCGGAAAAGGCAAGATCTGGCCGTCGAAACAGCAGCCAGATCTGGCCTTCGACGCCGCAGATGGAGTTTTGCGGCGTCGACGGCTAGATCTAGCCGTAGATCTGGCCTTTTCCGGCCAGATCAGCCACAGATCTGGACGGAAACGGCTAGATCGATGCGTTACGACACATATCCGACGGGTCTGTGTCGTAACGCAACTTTCCGGCCAGATTCCGGCGGTGGTGGCCGGAATCTGGCACTTGCCGGTGGGGGTTTTTTTGTTATTTTATAAAACTTTTATATATTGGGGTATTTAGTGAAATTTGTAAACTTAGGGGGTTTTTTGAAAATTTTAAATTTATAAAAAACTAAAATTCAAACTTTTAAGGGCATTTTAGTCTTTTCACTATTAATAAACAGTAATAAACAGAAATCACTAACAGAACATGACGGAAAGTACCTATTTGTCATTTCAAAACCTTTTAGGTACCAACTTGTCGTTACGATAAATCTTGGGTATGTATAAGTCGTTCTCCCTTTTAATTTCTATAAACTTTATGTGTGGCTGATGATATATGTTGTATTATTTAGTTATTATTATTTTATATATATTTACTATGGATTAATATTACACATTTTCATATTATAGTTAGATGATATTTTTATTTACCATAGAATTAACGTGCTATTGAAATGAGGAGTTTTTGTCACATTTCGTTACTCTGGCCAATCAAAGAATCTCACGCTTTTTCATGTCTAGACATTTGTATTGATGTTATCATTAGATACCGCTTTGGAATCGGAGAAGGCTGCTAATCAAAGCATCACATTTAGAAATATTGACTAAATATTACATTGAAAATTCAAGGCATTTCGTTTTGACCATATTGGAATTATTAAGAAATTTATTTTTGGTTTTCTTTCTATTATTTTGTTTTACAATTAAAAAAAAATAAAAAAAAATAAAATTATAACAAAAGCATCCAATAGCAAACTCTTTAGTCATTAGGGTAGGGTGTTCCATAACTATGCTCGAATACCTTAGTTACAGGCGACTGACAATTAGCTTGTAGGGTGTTTCATTTGTCTCTTATTTGATGAAAAATCATATTCAACCACCTTTATTTTACTCTTTTTCAACTAGTCTAGTGTAACGAAAATAGGTCTGTCCCTTTCAAGTTCTTATTCAATTTTTTTTTTTTTTTTCCTTGAAGAAAAATGAAGATTGGCTTTGAAGTAGGCTAGTAAGTGAAAAGTCTTATTAATTAATTTATTTTTATAATTATTAAAAATTAAAAGTCTAGATGGAGAATGAGTGAAAGAGAAAAATCATCTTCCAACAATCTTTATTTGACTCTTCTTCAACTACTCTAGTGTGAGGAATAGGACTGACAAGTCTTCTTTGAAGTAGAGGCCAGTAAGAAAAGTCTTATTAATTCATTATTTATAAGACATTAGAAATCTAGCTAGGAGGAAGAGTGAAAGAGCAATGCACTTTCCAGGTAATTAATTGGTCTGTTCGAGCATCATCTACTATATATAACAATTAATTTTCCCAAAGAAGGAGAATAGGTAACAGAGAATGGGTGTTCATCAGCTGGTTCTGGTGTTATCGCAGATCATTTTGTTACTCTTGCCACTCAAAGCATCAGCAATATCATGTCCCAGCATGTGTGGTAATGTCAGCTTTTTCTACCCCTTGGGAATTGGTGCAGGCTGCTACTTTGAAAAGGGATTTGAAGTAACTTGTGACAATTCTTCAGGCTCTGAAAAACCTTTCTTAACCAGCATCAATCTCGAAATGGCAGAAGGTGTTTCTTATGTTTCAAGCTATGTGATTCGCGTCAACTTGCCTAAAATTTCTTTGAATAATAGTAGCACAACTCGAGACATCGATCTGTCGGGAAGCCTCTTTTCATTTTCAAACGAAAGAAATAACTTCATTTCCGTTGGTTGTTATAGCAATCTGAGTCACAACCAGATGGATTCAACTTCTGCTCGATGTCAATCTTTTTGTACTTGTGATCCTTCACAAAATGCTACTGGTTGCTGCGATATGATATGTACCCTTCCTCCGAATGGTAAGTTTAATAACACTGAAAGTATATCAGAATTTTATTCAAAAAAGGTTCCCCGAAACTGCAGTTCTGCCTTCATGGTTGACCAAGAATGGCTCCAGTCAAACTACCTAACAGAACCATCGGTTTTGAGAGGGAAAGAATTTATTCCTGCCAGCCTGGAGTGGGGAAAATATAGAGGGTCGTGTGTAGAAACTTATAATTCAGGCAATTTATCTTGTAATGCGGATGATGACTGTTTAATCAAATTAAGCTCAGGCTTTATTTGTGTTTGCGAGGATCAAAAGCCGGCTAGACATCAAGCATGCAGAGGTAGATTTGATTTTTTTTTTTTTTTTTTTTTTTTTCTCGGAAGGGGAAAATTTGTAGCATGAAATAATTTTTTTTTTTTCTCTAATTGTGCAGGTAACTTGTTCTGTGACACCAAGAGCGGCTACAATTGCACTGAAGAATGTCCTCATGGTTATAATATATCTATATATTCTCAAGACAGTCAAGAAACTTGGTGTTATCCATTAAGTTCTAAGGATAAATCTCGGGTCAGATTTTTTATTATCGTAGGTACGCCGTATCTATCCTTTTTGTTTCCACAATATATGAATTTCTTTGGATATTAAATAAGATATTATTCATATTTGAAAAGAAAATAAAGCCATAGTCCGTCCATAGTAATATATTAATTCAACTAGCTACTACAATAATATATATATATATATATATATATATATATATCACAATCTGTTTCTTGATGTTAACTATATACTTATCCTTGAGTAATTTGCAGGTAGTTGTGCTGGCATTGGGTCATTTTTACTTCTCATTGGAATATGGTGGTTGTACAAATTCATAAAAAGAAGAAAAGCAATCAAGTTGAAGCAGAAATTCTTTAAAAGAAACGGTGGTTTATTACTACAACAGCAGTTGTCATCCAAGGAAGGTAAAATTGAGAAAACAAGATTGTTTACTTCAAAGGAATTAGTAAAGCCCACAGACAACTACAATGCAAATCGAATCCTAGGTCAAGGAGGCCAAGGCACAGTGTACAAGGGTATGTTAGCAGATGGAAGAATTGTAGCCATTAAAAAGTCCAAGATAGTGGATGAAAGTCAAGTTGAGGAATTCATCAATGAGGTAGTAATAATATCTCAAATTAATCATCGAAATGTGGTTCAATTACTGGGATGTTGCTTAGAGACAGAAGTTCCAATTTTGGTGTATGAATTCATTTCTAATGGAACTCTCTTTCATTATATCCATGGCGAAAATGAGGAGTTTCCAATCACATGGGAGCTACGCCTACGCATTGCCTTAGATGTTACAGATGCTCTATCATATTTGCATTCAACTGCTTCCATACCTGTATACCATCGAGATATTAAGTCAACAAACATACTCTTGGATGACAAATATCGAGCAAAAGTCTCAGACTTTGGAACTTCCAGATCTGTTACAATTGACCAAACTCATTTGACCACTCAAGTACATGGGACCTTTGGATATNTCCGGAATGTATCTAACCTTAGTCAATTTAATGTTTTTCCCATTTTCAAGCCTTAAGGTTATACTACCAATTCCTTGGACTTTGCAAGCATTATTATTTCCCATAAACACAGTTTCTAGTTCATTAGCCTCAAAGTCTTTGAATCAATTTTTATTAGGACTCATGTGGAAAGAGCAACCTGAATCTAGTACCCATTCATTAACATTATCTGATTTAGAGACAGTGAGGACCTCTGACTCTTCGATATTGGTTTTAGTGGAAGCTAGATTGCTCTCTGTATTTCCCTGCTTCTGTTTCTTAATCCAAGCAAAACAATTTTTCTTTAAGTGACCTATTTTGTTACAGAAGAAACACTTCCTAGTCTCCCCTTTTGCTTTGTGACTGTTTTTACCCTTCTTTTTATTCCTAGGGCCATTTTCAAACTGTGTATTACTACCCAACATGCTTGACTCCCATTTGCCCTTCACAAATAGATTGTGACCACTCCTTTTTTGCACTCTAAGTTCTAGTTCCCTAGCCTTTAATCCTGAGCTTATTAAATCTAGACTACGGACAATTTCGATGTATTGTAATGCATTTTTTACAACCTGATATTCTTCAGTTAACGAATTTAATAGTATCATGGCTAAACTGGAATCCCCAAGTTCCTGATCCGTACCCTTAAGCACTAGGGTCATTTTCAAGAACTTATCAAGATTCTCATCAATAGTCCTAGAACTATCCATCTTGTAAGCAAATAAAACACCTTTAAGATATGCAAGATTAGGAGCTGATTGCAAAGCACAGAGATATTTAAGCTTACCCCAGAGGCTGATTGGGGTTTCAAACCCATCGACCTTGCGCAGCACGCTGTCAGCAAGGTTCATGATGATTAAATTGTAGGCCTCTTCATCCACTTCGGCCTTCTTCTTTAGCTTCTCCTCCGGCCACTTGGTGGAATCCTCCTCCAGCGCGATAGACACTTTGTTGTGGGACAACAAAGCTTTCATCTTCTTCCTCCAACTTCCAAAATCGATTTTTCCATCATANATAGATTCGATTGATAGTGACTAATTTCAAGTAATTTTGAAATTAGTTCGTCTTTCGCTACTGGATCATTCTTTGAATAATTTTTAATTCTTCAATAGTGGCCAACCCTTTCAAAATTTATTCTATCATTTGACTGAATATCATTATTTACTGCAGTTCGTGTTTTAACTTGTAAAAGATAAGAGAAAAGTGGGAAACGAGTTTGAAGTAAAAGTTATTCAGCAAACAAAGCTGAAAAAAATCTGCAGGGTTCGTTCTTTGTTCCTCTGTTTTTGGAAGAAAACTTCCCAGAAAAATTCAGTTTATAGCAGCCCAGAAAAATTCAGTTTATAGTAGCACTTTCACACTCTTTTCCTGGTGCATTAGTGTGTATCACAAAGGTGAAAAAATTCATCCAATGAAAAGCTTAGAAAATCAGAGTGAAAAAGAACAATCTGTAAACTTGAGAAGCAATGAACTAACTGTATTATTGGCAAAATTGTGTACATTCTGTTTATATAGAGCTGCTATACAATGATAGCTTGTCATTCTATTATGATCTACTAATTGCATTGTGTATTGTTTGATCATCTTGAACACTTGTAACAGTAACTAACATGATGACTAATGATGTTAACTCTTCTAACGATTCCTGTCAAGCTTTAGTTCAAACAGAAGACGGAAGTTCCCAGCCGTTAGTTACTTGGTTAAAATCATAAGAGTAACAGATTTTACCTGTATTTTGAAACTCCTCCTTTTTCTTCTTTCAGATCTTTAGCAGCTGAACTAACATCTAACAATGTAAAATGGTTGTACATCGGAAGTGATATTGTATTCAAACTTTGATTCTTTAACAAGCTACAGCAACTTTACTTGTTTATCTTAGAGAAATTACTGGCATAATTCTAGTCCTACTTTCTCCATCGTTCTTTCCTGAAGTCAAATTATGATTTTATTAGTGTTTATTAATATTTTTACTCTATAAATAATGTAATACATACAAAATTGAGACATAAAGCTTGTATCCCATAAAAAATGATAAGTTACTTGTTGATATCGAATCATTTGTTACACTAATTCATCGTTAAGAAGATCCTGACAAATAATTTGTAAGTGTAGTGTGCATGTGGCCTTAATGATCATCATAAATAGAGGTTGTAGCCTTTCCATAGAACCTGACAGAAATATCTTGCAAAACAAGCAATATTTGAAGGTGACATTTTGAAGAGTAAATTGACAAAGAAAGATGGTCGTTATGTCACAAAAGTGAAGTTCTTAGATGAGTTTTGTAGATGTTTCAAAGTGGATCAAATTGGCTTCAACCTGAATGGCTTGTTCCAATCCCCAATAGCTAGGCTCAGATAGACACCAGGCCAGACCTAAATTAAAAGCCATGAAAAATTAATGGGCTGGGTTAATTAACCATATTGGATTTGGGGTGTAAAGTCCATAATAAATTTGCTTGAATAATTATTCTTCTAAATATGTATGTATTTTCCAACAGATATGTCGGATCTCATAGGGTTGTTGTATAGAAATACAGAAACACCAAAAAAAAAAAAACCTTGGATGATGAACCAATTTCAAAGTGACTAGTTATTTCATGGCGGACACGATTAACCTCTTTAATATTGGTACTTCCCTAATTTTCGGTCTCTTTAATTCTTTCCTCACAAATTCAAACATCTTTTCGTGATAGCAATAATGATATAACACTTAGGATTCTGGAGCATTGGTTGTAACACATAACAAATAAACCTGATAAATGGAATAACAAAAAAAGAATTAGATCATAGCTACAAATATCCCTTTCTGCAGGGATTAATTTGTGTGGCTTATAATAAACTCTTTTTTCGTCTAATGGAGGGAGATCAACTTGTCTTTTGTATAAGTGATGTTACTTTATCCTCAAGTGTTAAAGCATGTAAAGTCTTAATAAGATTTGTTAGAGTTTTTCTTGATAATGTGGCTAATAATAAGTGTAATGCAAATTCCCAATTAATGTACTGCTAATCACACGCACAAACCCACAAAAACACACACAAAAGAAACAAGATCAAACCAATCACAAGAACACCAAATTTACCGTGGTTCACCTTTCACGATGGAAAGATTACATCCATGTTGAGCTCCAAGAATTTTTGGAGACTCGCTGCACTAGGAATCAACTGTTATTACAGATTACAAAACACTCTCAAAGATTCACCCAACTATCAATCTTTAACCCAATCACTCAAATCTGAAATCTCTAGAGAATACTTGATCTAGTTTTTCTAAACCTGAAGAAAACACTATCTTCACCTAAGATTATACAGATTCTCAACCCAAAAGCTTGACTACAAACTAACAATGATAAGAGCAAAAATTGATCTGTCGTGAAAAGAGAGAGGAGCAGAAAAATAATGGGTTTCTGCGCAAAAGACTCCCTTTATATATGTTGACCTCAAGAGCTAATCCTGGCCGTTGGATCTTCTTCATTTCAGTGGCTATGATCTGTTCTCATTTGCAGTGAAACGGCTGCGTTTTGATAAGTGAAATTCTGCAGAAACATTACAAAGGTTTTGCGCTTCAGATATTAACAATAAGGTTTAGCATGTGTTAAAGCTTACTAAGAGTTGTAAATTAGAATGTTAACTCTTCCATTGACATCACTGTTAGATTTGAATATAATATTCAATTCTTACCTAAGAACATAAAACCAAATGTTAAATAAACGTGATATTAGAGTCAAAAGTTTCATGTTCGATAGAGTCTTACCAAAGTATTTGTATTTTATGTTGTATAAATTCTCTCTTTCTAGTTGGATAGGGATGCATTGTTCTTTCATAGTCTTTATTCCCCTTCTTAATTTAGACTTTTAATGTAATCTTTCATTAACTTTCTAATGTAATCTTTCAAACCAAACTTTTTATTCTTTTAATTTCAAGGGGACTGAACATGATCAATTTATAAACAGACATAATTTGATAGGATTTCACTGAAAATAAACATTACTATCATGTGAACTACAATGAAAGCTAAAACTTCATCTCCATTTATTCAATTATTTAACAAATAATTCCATAATATAAAATTGTAATTATTATTTGACTAAAATTTTAACTTAATTAATATTACGCTCACCCCTACTTAAACTTTTACAAAAAACTTAATGGCAACTTAACAATAATAAATTTGTAACAATAATGATAAATTCGTCGTACGTAGAAATATGAAGGATTTTTTTATTTTATTACTATTGTCATGACAAAAGCTCTTGTCTGAACAAAGAACTTTCCTTTTCCATAATTTAGAAATGAGGATAACCTCTCCTCCCCTAATATGAACCAAAAAGTGATTCATGAATTGTAGTAGTATATGCAGTCATAATCTAATTTTTCCTTAATTCTTTTATAAGTTTATCTTTTTTATCAGTTACTGGGACTGAACTTGATTTCAGATTTCAGAGACAGCCATCAGATAAGACTTTACTTAGATGGGAAACCCATGTGTGAAACATCAACATATATTACTGCTGCAAGAAGAACCATATGCATTTTATTGCTAAAATTAAAGGTCTTAAGGGAGGAGAAAAAAAAGGTAAGAGCTAAAATTTGTTGCTAACTACTTCCATGGGGATAATATTTCATTAAATTGTCTGTTGAATCTCCGCTATTAGTATCCATAATTAAGGAAGCTGAGAGATCAATTAATGGGATCTTCATCATCTGGGGAGTTACATATCTTGTTACTCTTGCCAAGCAATATAAGATCACCAGGATTACTCACGCCGTTTAACATTACCCTGCTATTCTACCCCATATGAACAACTTCTTTTCACATCCAATTTGATTTAACTTTTGTATTTTTAATTCCTTTAATGGGTGAAAAACCAACAGTTGGCCCACAGACACTCACCACTGCAACACCAAACACCCAAACTACAAGCCAACAAAACACTCAACACTAAATTTCACAGGAATAAATAAAATCTACCAAGTCAACAATATTTTTTCAGAATCCCAATTTTTTTTTCAAATAAAAATCACAAGGGCTCGAGTGTGGCGTT